CTCTAGTAGCTTCTATAGCCTTTGTTTATCTGCTACTTTCCAGCTTAATGTGCAGTGCTGGTGTTGGAATGTAGCGCTCGTGTTAGGCTGGACCCCTCTGACCCAGCCCGGCGTGGAGACATAGTCTTGGATTTAACCTTCACTTGTAACACACACGTAGATCTGCCGTGGAGCAGCGGGAGCTAAACATCATCCCTGTGTTTCTCTGGGAGTTCTGGGAGCACGTCTGGATGTGCCGCATGCACTAGTACATTTCCATTCATTTTACATGGACCAGCCACATGTCAGCGTTGGCTTGGCTTTTTTTTTTTTTTTTTTTTTTTTTTTTTTTTTTTTCCCCCTCCCCATCGCTGGATGAGCCAGAGATGCTTTTAGAGCCGTGCCGTTCGTGTGGGAGATGCTTTAAGCCGTGCAGGCACTCGAAAATGCAGGGCAGGAAAGCGTAGCAAATCTGACATAATACCGAGGCAGGAATAAACTGACTTCTCTGAAAGGGTGCCACGGAGTGCTCTCTGCTGGAAAGGACCTTTGGTTTCCAGGATCTGGGCACGGGGATGCAGGATGAGCTTTTAGCCGTAAGATGCTTCTAATGGGCATGGATGCACTCGGGATTTAACATCTGCAACCTTTGCCTCTTTGAAGTTTGACTCTCCAGCATGTTCTTTCCAGATACATGCACCTTCAGGTGTTTTTTTTTTTTTTTTTTTTTAGCTCTGTGATATGTTAAAACCCTGAAGTTTGGGTTCAGGTGTGCTGTTTTTAACCTACCCTTGGTATAACTAGTGGAGTCTGTCTCTAGGTGCTGCTATTTTTGTGCTGTTGACAGCACACCAGATCTGGGTGATTTTTTTTTTTTGTGTTCTAGTACTTTGCTGCTCCTGCCTTTCTTGTGGCACGAGAACACTTGGAAAAATATTTCTCTAGTGGTTTTATGCCACATGGTGCTGCTGAATCCTGGCAGGGGGGTTGCTCTGAGGACCCCCGTGATCCTGACTGTAATACTAACTTAAATTAGTCAAAATAGGGGGCTAACAAAGCAGTCTGAAGTAGTGGGTTGACTACAGAGTTCCTTCCTGTAGAAGTTGGAGGGGTCACACACAATCCTGAATAATACATTGCTTTTTCACCCCTTCCTGGTGGAGCCCCTGGGCAGGTGTTCCCTGTCCTGCCCTGGCAGAGGGGCTGCGTGTCCTGGTGCTACTTTAGTCTGAGCAAGTGCTGACTCTCCTCCTGGTGTCTGTGATGTCCTTCCTCACCTGTGACAGCTCCCCTGCCTCCCCAAAAAACCAGCAAACCTTTGCCACTTGGCTTTCTTGGCTTGCCCTTAACTTCTCTGAGCTCCCCGAGTGCAAACCTCAGCCTCCTGGTCCTTCCTGCCTCTTTCCCGTGGCAAATTTGGTGCTTCTCTGGGGTTTTCCCCACCCACAGCTGTTTTTTTTTAATAGTTACCTCAATATTCTTGTAGATCTGGGCAGAATAAACCCCTCCAGTTCCTTTTTTGTTGCTTTAAACCCTGGTGCTGACCAGCATAACCCCTGATGTTCCTGTGTCTCCTCATGTCTTGACTCCTCAAAGCCTCTTTTACTTTCCTTTCGTGCCTTAAAAGCACAACCCTTTGGGGCTGGTGGGGGACAAGAGGGGAAAATTTCAGTTTGCAGCCCTGTCACTGGTTGTCTGCATGTACTTTCCACCAACACTCCTGACTTTATGCTGAACTCGGATCTGAGCAGCCCTTCTCTGTCCTCATTTGAGAGGTAACAGACTCGCAGTAGAAGCAACATGTTTGTAAATATTAGAGTCTTTCATCAGCAGCCAGTGACTCTTAGGAAAACAATAATAAAAAAACCCTAAAGGCACCCTGAAAATAAATAAATAAACCTGGTACTCTGTGGTATGGGTGGATTTGAAGAGGAAGGGGCTTGGTTTGTGTGTGAGTGAGGATCTGGAGGAGATGCTTTGGGGAAAAGGAGGGTTTGAGGTCAATGAAGCGACAGGAACTTGGGGTGGAAATGGCGAATTTTAGCCACGTGTGTTGTTTTCTCCACTTGAATGTGCAAATAACAAACAATAAGGTGAGCTTGGGGAGCTTGAGGGCAGGTTTTTCTCCTGTTTCCTACTGTTCCCAGTCACGGAATCCCAGAATATGCCGAGCTGAAAGGGACCCCCTGGGATCATTGAGTCCTTCCAGGGATCATCGAGTCCTTGTGGGTCGTGTCTGCAAACAGCACTTTACCTGCCCCCAGGAGCCTGAGGCAGAGCAGTGGTGGGGAAGACAGCTGTTCATTGCCTGAACTTTCCCGTTCATCCCTAAAGATTAGTTTCCAGTTATTCCTAATTTTCTCCCAGCAGTTGTCTTTGGCAGAGCAGGACCTGGGGCAGGGCAGGGCAGTGACCCAGTGGTGAGTGAGCAGGAGCTGTGGCTTGCTGGAGAGAGCAGAGTTCTTCAGGGAGGCTTCCCCTTCCTGCTGGAACTCCCTGGAGAGTCCAGGGAAGGAAGTGAGGGGGGAAAAGGGAAGGAAGGAAGAGCTGGAAATGGCTCCCCTGTTGCTCTGGTGCTCTTTTGCTGAGTGACCTCAGGGTGGCAATGCCAGACCCTCCCTGGGAATTGGGCACCCTGGGACCCCAGGACAGGCACAGCACGGGGGTGTTCCCGTCTCTGCCAAGCTGGGAATCCCAGAATCCCAGTTTAGGTTGGAAAAGCTCTCCAAGATGATCAAGTGCAACCTTTGATGACCACCTTGTCAACCAGACCAGAGCACAGGGACACCCATCTTCAAATCAGCTTTGGAACTGGAACTGAGCTGAATGGACAGTTTTGCAAATAATTCCTATTTCAGAGCATTTCACTATAAAGGAGGAAGCTTA